GCAATGTTACAATTGTCAAGGTTTTGACCACTATGATAGAGACTGTCGAAGAAAGAAAGTTGTGAAGTCGAAAGATAGTGATGAAGCTCAATATGCACGAGCTGCAAGTAGTGACTCTGATGATGTGTTGTTGCTGGTGAACACTCAGTCGAATACTGAGAAAAATAACATGTGATATCTGGATTCAGGATGTAGCAACCACATGACTGGCAATAAAAACTAGTTTATCAAGTTAGATGAATCAGTCAAAAAGGTGATAAAGTTTACAGATATCAGACATATCAAGCCAGGTGGTAAATGATATATTTTGATTATCATAAAGGATGGTCGAAAGGCTACTATCACTAAAGTTCTATATGTAACTTCGATGACAAATAACTTGATAAGTGTAGGACAATTACTTGCAAAAGGCTTCAATATGAAGTTGGAGAATAATCAGATGAAGGTATATAGGGATGATGAGAGGCTAATAATGAAAGCACCATTGGCGGAGAACAAAACTTTCAGGGTTGAACTCAATACATCAGATCACAAATGTCTTGCTTCGACTACAGAAGAAGACAAGAACTGGTTATGATATCACAAGTATGGACATCTAAACTTCAAGAGTTTATGTATGCTCAATAAGAAAGGAATGGTGCTTGGGTTTCCGTATGTGAAGGAACCAAAACAAATATGTGAGGAATGCTGCAAAGCTAAGCAGGCAAGGAAGGCATTCAAATGTGACTTGCCTATAAGATCAAGGCAAAAACTGAAGTTGGTTCATTCAGATGTGTGTGGATCCATTGAAGTAGAGTCCAATGGAGGTAACAAGTATTTCCTTACTTTCATTGATGAATTCACCAGACATATGTGGATTTACCTTATTGAAAGGAAGAGTGAGGTATTCACATAGTTCAAGAAGTTCAAGTTGCATGCTGAGAAACAAAGTGGATGGAAATTGAAGAAGTTAAGAACTGATGGTGGTGGTGAATATACTTCAACTGAATTTTCCAGATTTTGCAACGAGGAAGGTATATAGCATGAGGTTGTTGCATCCTATACGCCTCAACATAATGGCATAGCTGAGAGAAAGAATAGAAGTGTATTGAACATGACAAGATGTATGTTGAAAGCTAAGAATATGCCTGAGATTTTGAGCTGAAGCAGCTTCGACAACAGTATACATTCTAAGTAGATGCCCAATAAAGAAAATGGTCGAAAAGACACCACATGAGGCTTGGACAGGGTCGAAGCCAAATGTAAGTCATCTTAGAATTTTTGGATCAATGTGTTTCAGGAATGTACCTGGACAATTGAGAAAGAAGTTAGATGATCAAAGTGAACGCATGGTGCTCATAGGTTATCATTCGACTGTTGCATACAAGTTGTATTCACTAATTGAAGATAAATTAGTGATCAGTAGAGATGTTCTTGTAGACGAAAACAAAGGGTGGGATTGGAGTCGAAGTTCAGTTTGACAAGAATCAGGAACAGTCACAACTGTGTTCGAAGAAGATGAAAAGAACGAAGCTTCGACAAGTCAAAATGAACAAGGTGATACTTCGACTGATAGAAATGAAGAACCACATGTGCAGAATGAAAGAAGATCCACAAGAATAAGAACTGATTCGACTAGGCTGATTGGATATGAGAGGTTTCCAAATCAAGCAATCGATGCTGATGGTGACTTAATCGAAGAAGCCATGATGATGGATGAAGCAGAACCAATTGACTTGGGTGAAGCCTTGAGCAATTCGAATTGGTGTGAAGCCATGAAAGAAAAACTTAGAGCCATTGAGAAGAACAACACTTGGGAGCTTGTCGAAAGAACTAACAAGAAACCAATTGATGTGAAATGGATCTACAAGGTGAAATGAAGGCCAAATGGTGAGATTGCAAAGTACAAGACAAGACTGGTGGCCAGAGGTTTTCTACAACAACCAGGTATTGACTTCAATGAAGTATATGCGCCCGTTGCAAGGATAAAAACAATCAGGATTGTTGTTTCGATAGCTGCATGTAGAGGATGAAAAATGCACCAACTTGATGTGAAGTCAGCATTTTTGAATGGTCCGTTGGAAGAAGAAGTCTATGTTACTCAACCACCAGGTTTCGACGTCAAAGGGCAGGAGTCGAAAGTGTACAGATTAAGAAAGGCTCTATATGGCTTGAAGCAAGCTCCTAGAGCTTGGAATAAAAGGATAGATAGCTTCCTAATTAAACCAGGTTTCATAAAGTGTGTCTCTGAACATGGAGTGTATGTAAATGATGTCGAAAGTATCAATCGAATCATTTTATGCCTCTATGTTGATGACTTACTCATTATAGGAGCAGACGAAGCTGAGATAATGAAGGTAAAGTCAATGTTAATGCAGGAATTCGAAATGTCTGATTTAGGAAATCTCTCATATTTCCTTAGAATGGAATCCAAAGACGCCGAAGAAGGAGTTTTCTTGCATCAAACGGAGTATACTCAAGTATACTAAAGAGGTTCAATATGAGCAACTGTAAGGCAGCTGTTACTCCATTAGAGACTGAAGCAAAGCTGAAGAAGGCATCGAATGATGAGTTTGTAAGTTCGACGCTTTACAAACAAATCATTGAATCCTTGAGGTATTTTGTAATACTAGACCAGATATATGCCAAAGTGTAGGATTGTTGAGCAGATTTATGGAGAAGCCTCAGGAATGTTATCTCATTGCAGTAAAGAGGGTTTTGAGATACATAAAGAGAACTATTGATCATGGTGTGTTGTTACCAAAGAAGTCCAAGAAAAGCACAAATGTCGAAGTTCATGGATACACTGACTCAGACTTCAGTGGAGATCAAGATGAAAAGAAGAGTATTGCAGGATACATTTTCATGATCGAAAGAGCTCCAATCTCCTAGAGTTCGAGGAAGCAAAGCATTATGGCTTTGTCATCATGTGAAGCAGAATATGTGGCTGCATCATATGCTGTATGCCAAGCAGCATGGATCAAAATGCTACTTGAAGAACTCAGAATAATGGAATCGAAGATGAAGTTGTTTGTTGATGACAAGTTAGCTATAAACCTTGCGAATCACCCAGTGTGTCATGGTCGAAGTAAACACATTGAAAGAAGGTACTATTTTTTGAGGGATCAAGTCAACAAAGGGAAGCTTGAAATAAAACATTGCAAGACAGAAGTGTAACTAGCTGACATATTCACCAAACCTCTGAAAAAAGTGAGGTCCGAAGAGTTAAAGAAAGACATTGAGATGAGAAGTCTTGATAACATGAATTAAGGGGGGTGTTAGTTGGTTAATTCTTGTTATGTAGTTATTTGAGCTTTTTAGCATGTATTTGGGTCTGGACTATTTTGCCTATATAAAGGGTCATTGTGTTTGTAATAAAAAAGCAACAATAACAAATCGGTTAGATAGTTAGTTACACATAACTAACTCATCATTCTTTCTCTCTTTTCTTCTCCTTCTTCTTCTTCTTCTTCTTCTTCTTCTTCTTGTTTTCCACAATATTCATCTTTCTTGAATCCTTTATTCCAACAAGAATAACCTTGAGATATATTTTAATGATGAGACTGCCATTTAATGTGTTTGTTTATAATGTCACTCATGACAAATTCTTGATCTTTCCGACTTTTTCAAGCAATAGACACGACATAGTAACTCTACCCAATTATCTCAAAGATATCTCATTGTTGCAACATGCCTAACCTTACGAAACCTCTTCTATATCAGCCACTGACCCAAAAAATAAGTTAAACCATCACTTTAACTCACTCCACCAAACTATTACAGGTATTATGTAACCCTGCATTTGAAACTCCACACTAAATCTATACTAGGAATCATTCTTTATTAATAGATGTCATCAAACAACCTTTCACATTTCATACCGAAATGTCAAAGATCATATATATATATATGAAAGAGATTCCATGAAAAATTTAAAATATTCTCTTTAATTTATAACTCACTTTATTATTCATTCTCTTTCGGATTTAAATGTTTAGAGTACTAAATTTTTAGGTGCACCTGCACCATCATATTGTAAATCGCTTTATGGCATCAATAATAAACTCTATGATTTCACCAAATATTTCTACTTTCCTAGTCAAACACCCCACGTCCTAATTTTGGGCATATCATTTCTTTTTAACATGTCATTTTTTCTATTGGTGTGAAATTACATTTGATTCGATGATATAACCATATTTTCTATTACTCGAGGCTAGGGGCCTATTGGGGGTCTAATCTGAGATTAAGAGCTAGCACCAACTTTGCCCTGATTTTTTTAAAAGATTGGTGCTACTTCAGATTAATGGTGTAACAATAAAATCAATTCAGTTCATTATAAAAAACTAAATAAATTCACTTTAAAATATATAATTAAATCATATAGATAAATTAACTACAATTTTGATTATAAATTAAATTAATTAATTATCCAAATTAATTAACCATAATTTTATACATAATTAATTGGATATCACAAAAGTATATATATATATAAATAAAAAAAATCATGAATTATTATTCTAACAAATAAAATCAAACAGTGAACTGTTTGACTAGACCAAACTTAAGCACAGTAACTTATTTCTACTCTAACTATATTCATTGAAAAACTTGTACCATATTATAAAAGCCATAGTTTATAGTTTAATGCTATTCATAAAAATATAAGTAAAAAAATGCAAAGTTAATAAATTTAAGAAAACTCCTATTAAAAAATGAAAGTTCTAAAAATATTTAATTTAATTTAATTTCCCTAAAAACTAGAATGAGAAAGAAAAAAAAAATTAATTAGAAGCAAAAGAGCAGAAAGAGAAAGGAAAATGAAGCTCCAACCCGGGTCCCTGCCTAAAACATCCGTATCCTACGCCAAAGATTGACTGATTTCACATGACGACATTTCTTCTCACCTTTTCATTCCAAATCATTGCACCAATTTCTTCTATATAAATACACTCTTCCACTAAAAAATATTCAAACCATAGTACAAAAACTTTACATAATTTTCTCACGTCTCACACATGGAGTGTAACGTTCCTTCAGGGTCATCTTCAAAGACAAAGGGTGTGAAGAAAAGCAAAGGAACATCGTCGGTGAAACTTTCAACTGATCCACAAAGTGTTGCAGCTAGAGAAAGAAGACATAGGATCAGTGACAGGTTCAAGATTCTTCAGAGTATGGTCCCTGGAGGAAGTAAAATGGATACTGTTTCTATGTTGGAAGAAGCTATTCATTATGTTAAGTTTCTTAAGACACAGATTTTGTTTCATCAAACAATGATTAACTTTGTTGATCATGATAGTGATCATCATGAGGCTTTTTCGCCGATGTTCCTTCCAAATGATAACACCATTGATCAGCATAATGTTTTAGGTTCAGTTGAATCTGGCCAGAATTTGCAACAGTTGCCACTAGAGCAGTTTTGTTTTCAACAAGGTGATGAAGATGTCAAAACCATGTTTAATGCTACTAGGAAATATTAGTATTAATGTCTCTATCTTATGTTTTTGTGTACTGCTATATGTAAATTAGATGTGAACTTTTTATGATGGTTAAAATGCTATATATGTAGTGTATCTTATGAGTGATATATTAATGTAGTGAAAGGTCAACGTAGATTTTGCATGTAATTGTTGCATTCTAGTAGTGTCTTTGTCTATTAAAAAGTACTTTATTCTATGTGCTAATTTGGAACATGCATGGTCTTTGCAATTATTTGTATTCATGTCTTGAGTAGAACAAAGTTTTTGAAAGAGACAACGAAAATTCGTATTGTTTTGTGTTTTTTTGTGGCATAGAAGGGTCAATGTGGCTAGGACCACTTAATATCTATCTCCCTTCCTTTCTTCACTAATTTTGGACTATTCTTATGTCATATAAATAATGTGCCAATGTCTAACTATTATTTACCATACTTTTAAATTGTGACTGTGGATATTGCTCTTGCATGCGATTGCTGCCATTGTAGAGGTTGTGGTGAGTATTGTAGCAGTCACGGTCTAAAGCCTATTTAATAGATGTTTGAAATATGAGAGACATTTTTATTAAATCAAAGAAAGGAGATGTTTGAAATACACCGATGAGAGACAGCTAAAGTTAACATTTTTTATTAAATCAAAGCAAAATTAACTTTAAAGAATTCTAAAATTTGGAATAATTGAACGAATCTAAGTGGTTAAAAGTCTACTGTGGTCTTGGATGTGGCTGGACATGTAATTTACTATCTACTAATCTACACTTTATTAATAGATTGACCAAGTTTAAAAAGTGTCATTTCCTCAAAAATATTTTACAATACAATTTGGATATTATAGTAATTGGTTAACAAAATAACCCTTAACTTTTACTTTTCTGAATTCATATCCTAAGTGTCTCTTTGGCATTGATCTATTTGCTACTTTCTCTTTCTCTTTTCTTATTATCATATAGTTTCATTTTGAATCTCTCTCTTTTGTTACTTTATCTTTCCTCATTACTCTTATAGTTTCATTTTCAATCTCTCTCTTTTGTCTACTTTCTCTTTCTCTTTCCTCATTACTCTTACGGTTTCATTTGGAATCTCTCTCTCTCTCTCTCTCTCTCTCTCTCTCTCTCTCTCTCCTCTCTCTCTCTCTCTCTCTCTCTCTCTCTCTCATCATCTCTCTCTCTCTCTCTCTCTCTCTCTCTCTCTCTCTCTCTCTCTCTCTCTCTCTCTCTCTCTCTCTCTCTCTCTCTCTCTCCCCAAGTATTCTCAGTTCTTCTATCTATTTCCATAAACCCTAGCACCGCCGCCGACCCCTTTCCCTATCCAATATATACGACAACCACTATCTCATACCCAATTTATCTATTTTATATCCATTTAATGTATTTTTACCATTTTCTTATATTCATCAATGCCTCTTTTTCTCATTTTTTATATATTTATCATCCATGATTTTCGATTAACATCACTGAATTTTTCGTTTCTTTATGTTTATGTAGATCGAGCTGTAATATCAAGCTTCTCAAATAATTCTCAATGCATTTTGTTTTGATGAAGACAAACTATATTGGCAAGAAGACAAAGATGTTGATCAAGCTAAAAGCATCAATGGATAAAAGTCTTTGGTTCATAGCTCTTGTAAATTTCATAAGGTATAATAATAATTCTTGCTATGAACTTAAGTCTAGATGTTCAATGATCAAAAGAAGTGTTTCTTATCTTGTCCAAACTTTTTCTCAAGTTTTCTAAGTAAAAATTCAATTTTCACTTGGGTGTAATCGATTTGCATGTTGATGCAATCGATTGCATGCTTCACGTTTTCAAAATGTTAGCTATTGTTTCTAAGTACAATCGATTTGCATGTTTGTGCAACCGACTGCTTTGTATCAAATTTTGCTACTGTTTTAAAGTGCAATCGATTTACACACATGTGCAATCGATTGCTCACTGAAAATATTAGAATTTTTTAGATGTTAAAACCCATGCAATTGATTTACATAAGGGTGCAATCGATTACATGCTTAACGTTTTTGAAAATCAGCAGCTTTGAACATACCTTTTCATAACACCATTTCATGGAAACTTTTCATTGAAACTTGACAATTGTTCATGATTCATTTACAGAAATTTATGCTGTTTCAAAGAGGTGCTATGAACATATAAATACTGAATTTTCAAAATCATTTTGTACCTCTTCCAATCAATAGCTTCTGAATTTTAAAATATCAAAACTCAAGCATTCTCCTCACTTTCATACACAAAGTTTTTCTGCACATTTTCATATATTGTTAAACAAAAAACTTTGAGCATTCTATAGTCTTGAGTCATTGTATATTATTGTTATTGGAAGAGAAGATCAAGTCATTGATGAAGTCACTCAAAGTGATTATTGCACTACAAACTCTATCAATCAAATATTGCTATACACTTTCTTATTTTTCAGGATTGTTGAAAATAAGTTAAAGTGGTTTTGTAATCTTGTTTTTCCAGGATTGCTGGATACAAGTAAGTCACTTTGAGAGGATTGTTCTCATTGTTGACATAGTGAAAATCCAAGAGGGTTGTTCTTGGTCCAAGAGGATTCTTATTGATTTTGATAGTTCTTGTTTAAGTTTGCCACTATAAGGAAATCTCTTTCATGTTGAAAGGGGACTGGAGTACTCTCGGACTGTGAGGGGAACCGGGATATATCGCTTGTGTCTCTTTATTTTTCTGCATTTTACTCTTTCATAAACTCCCCATAAATCAGAAAAATAATATTCATCATCACTAAAATCAGAAAAAATTTAAAGTACCTAATTCACCCCTACCCTCTTAGGCACACTCTTATACTTACAATTGGAATTGGAGCAGGTTATAAGTAACCTGTTCCTAAAATATCCAGAATGGCTTCCGCAAATCAAAATCTCATTTTCAGAGATAGTGGTAGTAACAACAAGCCTCCTCTATTTTGTGGTGAATATTTTGACTTCTGGAAAATACGCATGAAGGCACATCTAGAAGCACAAGGATAAGAAATATGGTCAATTTTTTCTATAACCGTAATCAATGGTGATGGCTCATCAAAGCCTAAAACTGCATGGGATGAAGATGATAAGAAAAGGTCCTCTATGATAAAAAGGAAATTAATATTCTTCAAGGTGAACTTAGCATGGATGAATTCTTTCGTGTCTCGACATGCAAAACGGTGAAATAAATATGGGATACCTTGATAGAAACTCATGAAGGAACTGCTAAAGTTAAAAGATCGAGATTAAATATATTGAGTCAAGAATACGAACTATTCAGAATGTAGCCCCGAGAATTAATCCTCGACTTGCAGAAAAGATTCGTGCACTTGATAAATCATTTGAAAGCACTCGGTAAGACTTTAACTAATGATGAAATTAATCTTAAAGTGCTTAGATCCTTATCCAGGGAATGGCAACCAAAAGTGACAACAATATTCGAGAAGAAGAATCTATCAACAATGACTTCCGCCACTTTGTTCGGAAAACTTCAAGAATATGAGACAAAACTTGCAAGAGTTGAAAAGAATGAAATCCAAGTAAAAGATTCAAAAGACATTGCTTTAAATACAAGGATAAAAAATCATGATGGTAATCAAGAGGATGAATCCACTAGTGGTGAAGATGATGATCTCATCAGGAAGATTGAAGAGGTTCTACGAAAAGAAAAAAAGAGAAGCACTAACAAGGAAAGTTATATGCTTTGAATGTGGAGAAAAGGGACGTGTTAAAAGTGAATGTCCTACACTTGAAAAGAAGAAGAAATATTTCAAGAGAAATAAAGATAAGAAGTCAAAGAAAGTATATATAGCATGAGAAAGTTCATCTTCTGATTCCTAAAATAATCAACGTGTTAATCTTGCATTGATGGCCTCACACTATTCCGATAGTGAAGATGACGAGGTTAATAATGAATTTTATCTTTTTGATAATGATGTACAAGGTGAAATAGATGAACTATCAAATGAATGCAAAATTATATATAAAACTATTTCATCTCAAAAGAAACAAATTTCATCTTTAGAAGAAAAATATGAAACTATGGAAAAAGATTTCAAAGATGAAAAACAAAAATTAAGTGATGAACACAAACATAATTTTGTATGCAAAAAATTGTGAATCACTCTCTTTACAAATTGTCCAATTAAAAAGAGTTATTGAAAGATATGAAAAAGGTCAAATTGGATTGGAAGGTGTTTTTAGTAAACAAAGACATTCCAATGATAAAAGTGGACTTGGATATTCAAAGTTTTCAAAACCAAGTTCTAATAAAACTATCTTTGTTAAGGCTAGTGATCAATCATCCAAAGAGAAAGTGAACAAATCTAAAGTGGTTCATCATTATCCTAAAAAGAAAACGTTTCCTAAGAAGAAATCTTACCCTCCTAGATATAGAAGTAACTTTGAACCTACTTGCTTTTATTGTGGTATTGTTGGCCATACACCTAATGCTTTCTATGTTAGAAACTTTAGTGTAGCAAGTGGACATTATACGTGGGTTAAGAAGGGAACTAACTATGATGGACTCAAAGCACATTGGGCGCCAAATCAAACTTAATTTGTTTTGTAGGTTTGCTTGAGGACCACTTTAAATCTATGATGTTTTGATAAGTGGTGGCTCTAAGCATTTGATGGAAGATGTATATTTTGCTAATGAAAAAGAGAAGAAGGTTTAATATATGTATGTATGTATATTTTTATGCATCTTTCCCTTCTTTTTGATAATGTCAAAGAGGGAGAAAGACGTTACACTTTATGCTTATGTATTTCCTTATCTTAAACTTTTTAGATACAAAGAATCCTTCAAGACGAGCAAATCAAAATGATTACAAAGCTTCTCATACAAAGGGGGAAGTTATACATCTTATGGGGAGAAGTCTCTTTTTGGAAATAACAAATATTCAAGAAAGATTGTTTGTCATCATCAAAAAGGGGGAGAATGTAATATCAAGCTTCTCAAATGATTATCAATGCATTTTGTTTTGATGAAGACAAACTATATTGGCAAGAA